ACAATTCTGTATCCTCATTCACACCCAGTTCAGTCAGCACCTTAAAATCATCATCCTTTATCAAAAACATCATTCAATTCATTCACTGCAGAACATCACAGTCTCTCCAGACGCTCCTCAGTCCACATTACAGGCATGGGTTTGGTTTGAAAGGAGTCACTGTTTCACCAGGCGTGAGAATGTGCCATAGTTTGTACATGTGATCAGCTCTGTTAGTAACATGTTCCACTGATGGACAAATAAATTTCAATATTTCAATATCCAAATATTGGATATTTCAAAAATAAAAAAATGAAGATTGAGTAAAACTTCATGCTGGAACTGCTGGTGCTGCATTTTACTATTTGACAAGTTTTGTTTACTGTTTACAAGGAATTTAGGTAACACTTTATAATAACTACACCTTACTTAGCCTTAACAAAGCATGAACAAAGACTTAATTAATAATGATTGATGCTTAGTAAATGCTTAATAAAGCATAATTTGTCTTCACTTTAGAAAAGCTCTCAAAAAGACTTAACAGATAACAGCTGCCTGAATGATCATTGCATTGTATTATTAGTAAATCATTTTCTCATAGTTTACTAATCATTAATAAATGCTCAAATGGTTAGTTCATGAGTAATTAAGTATGAAATAATTATGAGTAACTATTTACAGCACAGGCAAATTCAGTGCAAGTGTGAATTAAGGTAGTAATTAAGTAGTTACTAAGCGTGAATTGTTATTAATTAAGTCTTTGTTAATTATTAATTAAACCTTTGTTCATGCTTTATTAAGGCTAAATAAGGTGTAGTTATTATAAAGCACAGGTGTCAAACATAAGGCCCGGGGCCAATCCGGCCCTCCAAGACTTTTAATGTGGCCCTTGGGTGATTTTCTACAAAAATATTTTAATTATATTTTCTATTAAATGTTGGTAATTTTCTGTGGTGTTTATCACAGCAGCGTCTCCAGTGTCTCCGTACGTGGCCCCTCCCACCAGAGCAGCACAAATGAAGAGTCTCTTTCCAAACGCTCTTAAAGGACGATCGTTTTGACTGTTGACTGTGACACCCTCATCAGAAAAATGTCCAACATGAGAAAACTGGAGCCGAGTGCATGATTTTCGAAGAAAAATTGACTTATTCCTGTTTACATACAATTAATGTTAAAACACTGTGTTGAAATTGAATTTTTCTTAAAGTTCAGATTGTTCATAATATTATAAACATATAATAAGAAAAGTTCATCAATTAAAAAAGATTTCTGTAATTAGATTTGCGTTTTTCATGCAAATATTTGAATTATTATTATTTTTGTTTATATGACATAGTTTTCTATCCGGCCCCTTTGGGATCAAAGTAGGTTGGATGCGGCCCCGAACCAAAATAGTTGACACCCCTTTATAAAGTGTTACCGGAATTTATTTTTCACAATATTTCAAACAGTTGTTGCTTATTTGAGAATATTTTATTAAACTTATTAGTATTACCAAGCAGCATTTTGCATTTATTTTGTTTTCCCATTTGTATAATGTTAAACAAGCAAATGGTTTTGTACCAAAAATGAACCGAACCATGACCTCAAAACCGAGGTACGTACCAAACCGTGATTTTTGTGTACCGTTACACCCCTAATGTGTATAGACGCTTCCAAAATACTACTACAGCTTATATACCTTAGAGACAGGGTGAGGAATTTGGAGACTGGGCAGAAGCTCAGAGTAGAGCCACTGCTTCTTCAACTTCTGCTATAAAAGGAAGACTGTTTTCACCTCTTTTCTATCAATCAAATCCAAAACCTTTGCCTTTCAACCACCCCAAGCCACTCGTTTTCAGGTATGTCAGAACCTTTTGCCATCCAGCCGCAGATCCATAGCCTCCTCAGACTATCTACACCCTCCTCTTCACCACCAGTGTCTCCACAGCCAAATTTAGTTTTACTTATCTACTGCAGCTCTCTCATTTGTCTGTGTCTAGGTTAAAATAATGATAGTGCTTGTGTGTTGTGCCCGACCCACATCACCACATCTGAGCTCGTCCTTGACTCCAGGTTCATTTGAAAGAGGAGGACACAGCACGGCAGAGGCGGCAGAGGTGAGTGTAAAAACACATCCCACTGTTCCTGCAGATCAGCAGAGTGTGAACGCTGCCAGAGCTTCGTACAGATCACGGGGAGGGGGCTCAGGACACGTCAAGAATTACTTTGTTAGTTCTGACTAGTCGCTTATAAAAGAACTTAAATATGAGAGAGAGAGAGATACTTTATTGATCCTGAAGTTTAGCTGCAGTTGATGTTGCTGAAACATTTCCACTGTCCTTCTCCTTCTTTGTGTCTCAGTCAAAGGTCTCAGTGCAGTTGAACAGGAGGACTGGTCAGATAGGGTGAGAAAAACCTGTGGAAGAGCCAAAAGTGTCCCTCCTTTGTGTCCTGCAGCATCACAGTAGCTTCCAATGAGCACCAGGTGAACACAAAAGGAAAGGCCTCGTTCTTTCTCCGCTCTGGTGTTTCGTTTGGTGATGAAATGGTCCATTCTCTCAAAGTGTTTCTTCTGGAAGGTCTTCTGCCACATTTGTTACCATATTTGGTGTGAAAAGCCTCTCAAATGCGTCTCAAATGTTCATAGCTACCTCCATCGCACATCGTTGAATAATAAATCTACAGTTTTTTTATTTGGTCTATAAGGCGCACTTAAAATCCTTTAATTTTCTCAAAAATTGACAGTGCGCCTTATGTATTAATTCTGATTGTGCTTACTGACCTCGAACTGATTTTATGTGGTACACAGAGCTCAAAAATCTGTCAAAATGCTTTAGTATGACTTTGGGAAACTACGAAGCCGAACTGCTTGATGGATTGTCGGAGAATTACGGCCACTGCACGCGGCGAGCGCTTATAGAATTTGAATCAGAATTTATTTGTCATTTCAGTATAAAAAAAATACACAGAAACGAAACATTGCACTCAGGTCCAAGTCAACAGCAGCACAAATAATAATAAGAAAAAAATAGTTTAAAATGTTGTATGTCAAATACAGTCTTTAAAAACAGCCCTCACCCACCTCCATTTTCTAAAGTCAGTGCAATCTTGTAAGGTGCAATAGTGTCCGGGCTTTCTGACCGAATTGATTCCGTAGTCTGCTGCTCCTGGCCTGTAGGTGGCGCAATCTTCTGCCTGATGGGAGAGCTGTAAAGAGTCCATGTGCTGGATGGGTGGAGTCCTCCATATAGTTTCCTTTAGTTAGTTTATGCAAATGAGCCATGCGGTTTTAAGTTTCATTTCTGTAAAACGTAAACAAATGTGCTCAAAGCTGCATTAAACACATTATTACTCAATGTATATTTGAGTCGTCCTCGTAAGAAATAAAAAAAAAAAAACTTAAATGATCCACCCACATCATTTGAATTACGTCACGATCTGCCAATGAATCGTGGACACCTGGGCTAAGGGATCGGCCTCAAGTGTCGTCCGTTTTTTTCACTTAATGCGTACTAATGTGTATAGAAGCTTCCAAAATGCTACTACAGCTTATATACCTTAGAGACAGGGTGAGGAATTTGGAGGTCGGGTAGAAGCTCAGAGTAGAGCCACTGCTCCTTCAACTTCTGCTATAAAAGGAGGACTGTTTCACCTCTTTTCTGTCAATCAAAACCAAAACCTTTGCCTTTTAACCAGCCCAAGCCCCTCGTTTTCAGATCCTTGTAAGAAAAAAAAAAAAAAAAAAACTTAAATGATTGACCCACATTCACATTCATAATAAACATTCACCAAGACGAGAGGCAACGCCCGGCGAATTACACCACGATCTGCCGATGGATCGTGGACGCCTGGACTAAAGGATCAGTCTCAAGTGTCGTCCATTTGTTTCGCTTAATGTGTCTTATAATCCCGTGCAATTTATGTATGAAAATAGATTCGATAATTCAACATTACTGATATTGCGCCTTATAATCCGGTGCACTTTATAACCTGAAAAATACGGTATGTCTAAACTTAATACTCAGCAAAGACAATGTGTATATTAGTGATGGGCAGGTCATCTTTTTTTCTGACCAACGCCGCCTGACTCAGTTTTAAAATCCAACCTAACCCAAGAAATATGTTCACATGTTGGGACTCGACCCTAACCCCATTACTTTAAGACATTCAAACTGTCCTCTCTGTGCAGGTACATGTGAATACAAAGTTTCTCAGATCTACAGAACACGCTTTAGCTCAGTCTTATGGTGCTGACTTTTATCCTAGATCAGGGGTGTCAAACTCATTTTGGTTCGGGGGCCGCATCCAACCTACTTTGATCCCAAAGGGGCCGGATCAGAAAACTCATGACATATAAACCCCAAAAATAATAATAAGTTCAAATATTTGTGCAGAGAAACGCAAATCTATTACAGAAATATTTTTTAATTGATGAACTCTTTCTTATTATATGTTTATAATATTATGAACAATCTGAAACTTTAAGAAAAATTCAATTTCAACACAATGTTTTAACATTAACTTGTATGTAAATAGGAATAAGTCAGTTTTTCTTCGAAAATCCTGCACTCGGCTCCACTTTTCTCATGTTGGACATTTTTCTGATGAGGGTGTCAAGGTCAACAGTCAAAACGATCGTCCTTTAAGAGCATTTGGAAAGAGACAAGTCTTCATTTGTGCTGCTCTGGTGGGAGGGGCCACGTACAGAGACGCTGGAGACGCTGCTATGCTAAGCACCGCAGAAAATTACCAATATTTTAATAGAAAATATAATTAAAATATTTTTGTAGAAAATCACCCAAGGGCCACATTAAAAGTCTTGGAGGGCCGGATCTGGCCCCCGGGCCTTATGTTTGACACCTGTGTCCTAGATTAAGTCAAAGTGGAGGAACGTTTGGACCCGACCTGCCCACACCTGCTGCACTTCTCGTTGAGTTTACCCACGCATCACTAGTGCAAATCCAGTAGAACTTGAAGTCAGCGCCAACCACTCTGCCATCTTACACTCCTCTTATTTTACAGTACGTCAGAGTCTTTACCTTCGACAGGTCTCTGAAGTTCCCAGGCAGAGTGAGGTCCAGATCGGGGCTGTCGTAGTTGGAGAGCACCCAGGGGAACACAGGGTACTGGCCCAGGTCATTGTAGCTTCTCCCTGCAAAGACAGAGAGAAGGAGGACTTTACTTACAAATGAATGATGATGGATGAAAATGTGACGTATAAAGTTAAATACCTGTTTCAGATTTTGAAATACCAATACAAATACCAACACTGGATGAACGGTTTGAGATTGTTTATGATATTTTTTAAGAAAGAGAGAAAACTAACAAGACAAATTTAAGAGCAAATGAAAACGGTGGATTGAATATATAAATACTGTAAGACCAGACTTTGTTTGACCCATTACTTTGTTTTTCTTGCAATTGGTTGTAATGATTATTAATTATTATCATTATTACTTTTTATTCATTCATTCTTTGTAAGCATCAAAGGCACACCTGCATTTTTCATACAATGTTTTCCGTAACTTAAATTGCGATGCTGGACTTTTGTGCTGGATACGGACTGAACCAGGACTGAACCAGGACTAAAACAGGACTAAAACAGGACTAAACCAGGACTGAGTGTTGGGACGGGCCCGGAGGTGTGCCCGCGTAGACTACTGGGTGATCAGGACTGAGACCAGGACCAGACTGGGACCAGACTGGTAGTAGGACCAGGACCAGGATTGAGACTGGGACTGAGACCAGGACTGAGCCCGAGACCAGACCAGGACTGATTCTGGGACTGAGACCAGGACTGAGATTGGGACCAAACCGGGACCAAACAAGGACCAGACCAGAACTGAGACCAGGACTGGTCCCGGTCTGTTCCTGGTCTCAGTTTTGATCACCTGACAGTCTATGTGGGCACACCTCTGGGCCCGTCCCGACACTCAGTCCTAGTTTAGTCCTGGTGTAGTCCTGTTTTAGTCCTGGTTCAGTCCATATGTTGCGCAAAAGTCCGGCATTGCAGTTTAAGTCACAGAAACAGGAAATGTCTATTATCTGTTTTTTTTTTTTTTTTTTTTTTTTCATTATTCATTTAAACACAAAATTGAAAACTGAAAAAAATGAATCATTATTGTTTTGTTTTTTTTCATTTTGGTTTTGGAGACCAACAATGAAGGAAAAAGTTGTTTTTTCATTTTCTTATTTTTGATTTTATTTTGAAAAACAAATGAACGAATGATACACAGATTAAGCTTCTACACTGAGAGAGGAAACTGACCAAAAAGACACACAATGAATTTAAAGTTTTGCCTTTGCAGTTTGTCTTTAGTAACCTGAGTTTTGCTGTAACTCTTGCAGACACTGACGACAGCCTCTCTTACACACTGTGTGATACGAGCACACGCTGGCCCTCCCTGCTGAGTGTACACTTCACACACACGAGCAGATACACACAGATATGGGAAAGAGAGAAACTGGAGCAGCCTCGATCCTCCTGGGCGTCTAACAAACTCTGACTGCAAGAGCTGAAACAAGACTAAACCAGATCTAAACCAGGAACCAGGACTAAACCAGGACTAAAAAGGAGCACAACTCTGGGGTAGTAGTAGCTCAGTTGGTAAAGCGGGACTGAGACCGTGATCAGACTGGGACCGAGACGGAGACGAGGACTGAGAGGACTGAAATCGGGACTGAGACCGGGACTGAGACCGGGACTGAGACCAGGACTGACTGAGACCAGGGACAGGACTGAGACCAGGACTGAGACCAGGACTGAGACCAGGACTGAGACCAGGACTGAGACCGGGACCAGACCGGGACTGAGACCAGGACTGAGACCAGGGCTGAAACCGGGACCAGACTGGGACTGAGACCAGGACCAGATTAGGACGAGACCAGGAGTGAGACCAGGAATGAGACCGGGATCAGACTGGGACTGAAACGAGGACCAGTTTGAGACTGAGACCACGACTGAGACCGCACCGGGACCAGACCAGGACTGAGACTGGGACCATACTGGGACTGAGACCAGAACTGAGACCAGTTTAGTCCTGGTTTAGTCCTGGTTCAGTTCTGGTTTAGACCTGGTTTAGACCTAGTTTTTTCTTGGTTCAGTCCTGGTTCAGTCCTGGTTAAGACATGGTTTAGTCCTAGAGTAGTCCTCTTTTAGTCCTGTTTTAGTCCTTGTTTAGACCTGGTTCAGTCCAGTTTAAGTCATAGAAACAAGAAACGTCCATTATCCTTTTTTATATTATTAATTTAAACACAAAATCGAAAACTGAAAAAACAAATCATCTTTTTTTATATTGGTTTCGGTGACAAATAATGAAGAAAATAGTTGTTTTTTTTTGTTTTCTTATTTTAGCTTTTATTTTGCAAAACTAATGAACCAATGACACGTGGATTGTTACACGATGCACCTTTAACTTTGCCTCTAAACTCAACACGGACCCAGAGCACCAGCACAGGCGTCTGACATATGAGACGCATGGGACTGCAGGACCGCGATACTCGACGTTCCTTCTGCAGACGACCCCTGACAGGGCTCCGGGGTCACTCGCTGGTCAGGCTAATCTCCGTGAGCCGGGTGCACTGAGCGCTCGCTGTACGGGGACAGTAAAAGCCCGGGCCATACCAGAGGCTTGTGTGGCTAACCCTGATTTACTGTGACAGGGGAATTTTGAGCCCGGCTTTTAAAACATAACAAGGCCATTACATACGAGTGGTAACTACACGCTAATCCTCCAGCTACTGTAAGTTCTCCTGACCACGAACCCGGATCAAGATCTGGAGGAGGCCTGTCAACGGAGAGCTGAACCCAACCAACGTTTTTGAAGAAACTTGAATTGAATTTATATGTTGCATCATTTGAATAAATTTTATAATGTATATACAGGTTTTATAATTCAGGAGCATTATACATTTGCTGTTTAGTGACAATTGCAGACTAATAATTGACAAAACAGTTGCAATTAGGAGTGTAACGGTGCATGTACTGTATTTTCCGCACTATTAGGCGCTCTGGATTATATGGCGCACTGTCATTAAAGGGTCTATTTTCGAACTTTTTTCACAAATAAACCGCACCGGACTTTAAAGGAAACACAACAGTTAGATGGGTCAGTGGTTTTGTTTGTTTGTTCGTTCACAGTGACTCTGGGCTTTGTTCAGTTGTGGCGTGTAGGGAGGGTGCTGTCTGTCACCGCTGGATTGTCGGCGTGTTCGCAGTGACTCAGTTGTTCAGTTGTGTCTAGAAGTGGCACATTGCACTCGCTTTTTCGGTTCGTTCCTCCGTTCCGTTCCTCGTCGGCGTGGAGTGATGAGTGTGTCTGTGGGTGTTTTTCGCTGTGCGGTCGCTGTCTTCTCCGCGTGTGGTTGCGTGTTCTGCAGGTGGTGCGGCTTTGTAGTTTACTGAAGTCGTGCTGGGACACCCGAGTGGATTCGTGTATGGGGCGCTCTGAATTGTGGGGACGCGCAGTCATTTTTTGATGGAGTTGGAGGCTGGTTGGAGTGCGCCCTATAGTGCGGAAAATACGGTACTCGTGCCAAACCGCTTCAGTACGGGCTGTTCGGTTTGGTGCAGGACTGTGTGTGAGTGAGTTTGTGCAATTTTTGTGTGTTTACATTCCACCACTACATGTGCAGCTACACTAACCTGATTCATCAGCTTCGTTTCACTTTGTACAAGCTGTCTGACCTCACAGTGTTAGAATTCGTTCGCTCAACAGTAGGCAAGTACTTTTTATCATTTAACCAATCGCTGCTATATAACAGGGCTAACTGGTATATTAAGCTTTTCCCAAATCCCTTAGGAAGAAGGGCAATAACGTCTTTCCGCTTGATAAAACTCACCAAACATTCTCTTTGTTTCGACTTTAAATCCTCGATCTTGAGAATCGTTGCCAACACAGAATGTATGGCTCTTCGCTGATTGGCTGGTGCCCGAACTTGCACGCCCAGAGGTCCTTCCGTGTAGACCCGAGAGACCGAGGGCGAAAGGACCAGTGCAGAGCTTGGAGACAAGGAGGTACGTGCAGCTGTAGCGCTTTTCGGACACCCTGCTCCGCGGGGCTCAGGATTTGCTTTCTCTCTCCAAGATTAGTCCTGGTTTAGACCTGGTTTAGTCCTGATGTAGTTCTGGTGTAGTCCTGGTTTAGACCTGGTTTAGACCTGTTTTAGTCCTGATGTAGTCCTGGTTTAGTCCTGACCCGCCCTTAAAATTCCAGAACGTGAAAACTCGCCGGTTTCAGCGACTATTTGCCCGTATCCGTCTGTGCAGGACTCTATATCAACATATAAACGTATAGGCCTTATTACCTGTACGGACATAAGATTTTAATTATAGGTGATTTATTAAGGAATAAAAAACTGAGGTGTTTAATGTGCGTGCTAATAGATTTAAACCTCATTAAATGCAAATGCGTTGCAGTTGTACACTTAATTCACAATACACTTAATACACCTTCTAACTTAACACACTTTAACATAAAATAAATTATAAAAAGCAAGTACAAAATGTGATGTCTGAAAACAGTGAGAAGATGTGCATGCTGCGTAGAAGGAGCGTCTCTGACACTCTGGTATGAATTGAACCTTTGAAATTCACAGGTACACGCAGCTCCGCCAACGTTAAGCGCTGCTGCAGCTCCTAGTGTGTATTCGGGGGAGCACTACGAGGTCAGACGGTTTCTATGAAGTGAAACCGGCTGATGAATCAGGCTATTACCAAACAGCACTTCGCATTTATTTTATTTTCCCGTTTGTATAATGTTAAAACAAATAGTTGGTTTAATAAAAACACAAACAAAAAACAAGCAAATGGTGCTGCATTTTGTTCCCATATTGTACCAAACCGTAACCTCAAAACAATGGTATGTACCAAACTGTGATTTTTGTACCGTTACACCCTTAGTCTATAGCAGGGGTGTCAAACTCATTTTGGTCCGGGGGCCGTATCCAACCTACTTTGATCCTAAAGGGGCCGGATCAGAAAACTCATGGCGTATATACCCCAAAAACAGCAATAAGATGCTGATGATAAGATTGCACAGAGAAACGCAAATCTATTACAGAAATCTTTTTTAATTGATGAACTCTTTATTTTACAAAATGTTATAATATAATGAAAAAAAATTCTATTTCAACACAATGTTTTAACATGAACTTGTATGCAAATAGGAATAAGTCAATTTTTCTTGGAAAATCCTGCACTCGGCTCCACTTTTCTCATTTTGGACATTTTTCTGATGAGGGTGTCACGGTCAACAGTCAAAACGATCGTCCTTTAAGAGCGTTTGGAAAGAGACAAGTCTTCATTTGTGCTGCTCTGGTGGGAGGGGCCACGTGCAGAGATGCTAGAGACGCTGCTGTGCTAAGCGGAAAAGAAAATTACCAATATTTTAATAGAAAATATGATTAAAATATTTTTGTAGAAAATCAGCCAAGGGCCAGATTAAAGGTCTTGGAGGGCCGGATATGGCCCCCGGGCCTTATGTTTGACACCTGTGGTCTATAGGGTTTACACAGGTTTAACAACTCAGGAACTTTTTAAAATCATAATTATGATTTCAAAAGTCATAATTAAAGGTTTTAAAGTCATAGTTACAAGTTTTAAAATCATAATTAACAGCTTTAATTTCTTATTTACTGGCAGAAATGGGCTTCCATAGCTACATGTCGTCACTAGTGGGTAAAGTCGTAACCAAAACTTTTACTCAAGTACTTTACTCGAGTATTACTCCTCGTCAACATCAAGTTAAGTTAAGTAACTGTAACTTACTCCATTTCTACCTTCCCGTGCCGCGGCAGTGTGTTAATAACAGTGCAATAGTGTTTAATTAGAGACGCACTCCTCCGTTCACACCTCTTCCTCCTCCCCTCTTCCTCCTCCTCCTCCTCACCCGCTCCTGTCTGGCTCTCCCTGACACCCCTGTCATCCCGGGTCATTACCGGACCAGTTTTAATGAATTTCCTCCGTGTTTTTATGTCTGCCTTACATCTAATTAGCTGACAATAATGCATCAGGCAGGAGAGCCGTATAAATATGCATGAGGGCGGCGGAGAGAGCGCGCCGTGACACTTCTCCGAGCTGTTAGCCGCACTTTGAGATCTGAGACACTCTACACTGTACAGACACACTGCTCCGCTAATTATCCAACCGCCAAAGTCTGCCGCCAGCTTCAAACGCTACAACTTTGATGAATGCTACTGTGCGAGCTCCACTGTACTCCCGGTGTCACTGATAACAGGACTAAAGCAGATGCTGAACAACAACGCGAACCCAAGGCTACAACAGGACTTCACAGCGAGAGCTTATAGGAAAACGTCTAAAACAGTTCTCAATCAGTTCTAACTCAAGACTAAACCACATGTGTGAGGTTTAAAAGCTCCAGGACTGAACCAGGCAGCTTTAGACCTGGTTTAGTCCTGCTGTTTTTTCACATTTTCACACTTTGTTTCTAAACTGGGACAAACCTTCACTTGAATTCTCACACTATTCATGAGTTCACTCTTGTTCTAAGAATCCATCTCATCTGGCTCTTGTTTTTGCAGTTGTCTGGTTAAAAAAAGAAAGTATTAAAATCTGGGAGCTTCTAAGAACTGCAGTGTGGATCTCTTTCTTCTTTTGCACAGTTTTTGGACCCAGCATGCAGTCGCAATTTTTGTTGGATGTGCATGTCTATCAGTGCAGTTGTCTGATTAACCAATCACAGATCAGGATTGTGGTGTGGGCAGAGCCAAAATGAACCAAAACAAACATGGCAACGCACTTGGGCCCATTTGATGAGTAATACAGAGTGTTTAGTTTGTAAAATTAACACATTACATTTTTTTTTCGGCAGGTTGATCTGTGTATCACTCTGAAATGAGTTCTACACATTATCCATCTGGAAAGGCTCTTGCTTTTAGAAAATGGAGGGACTTGCAGCAGAATGACTCGACTGAACCACCCATAAGTGCTCACCCACAAGTTTCTTTTTAGCCAATCACAGCAAACCTGTCAAAATTATGTATCCAACTTGCACCAGGTAAAACCAAGACAAGTGTCATGCTGGAGAGGGAACATTTTTTTCAATAAACAATTTTTTGCATTATAAGCCACTATCACGTCCACAGGGGCCACCATGTTGGTTTTTCTCTGTGTAGGTCATAGTCTGTATATATATATATATATTATATATACTGTCTATGGCAGGAGTCTCCAACCTGTAGCTCGGGTGATACCAGGAGCTCTCCACCCCCTTCCAAGTAGTTTGCCAAAGGGATTTCTGAATTACATGTACTGTGCTGAATAACAAAATGTTGGTTAATTAAAAGGCTATTACCATTGTACATGTATCATTTTGATTCCTAACTTCTTGCAGTAATAACTGGTTTATGTTTTATAAACATCTAACTGTTCCCATCTAAGGCCGAGGCTCTTTTATTTACTCAATTTCTTGCAACCGCTAAATTAATTTAGTCAGGCTGGCGCCGCCTAGTGCCTCCACTCAACTTCATTTCTCTCCAGAGACTAGGTCAGGAATCAGAATACACTACACAGTTCACAAAAAATCCCCGGAAGTGCGAGTTCGGGCACCAGACAATCACTGAACAGCCATATATTCAGTGTTCTCAACGATTCCCGAGATCGAGGATTTAAAGCCGGAATAAAGAGAATGTTTAGTGAATTTTATCAAGGGAAAAGACATTATTGCCCTTCTTCCTATGGGATTTGGGAAAAGTTTAATATACCAGTTAGCTCCTATTAACAGCACTTTACTTACGTCACGACCAAACAGCAGCGATTGGTTAAATTTAAAAAAGTACTCGCCTACCGTCGAGCGAACGAGTCCTAATGCTGCGAGGTCAGACGGTTTCTACAAAGTGAAAGCAGCTGATGAATCAGGCTAGAATTAAGTGGCTCTCTGGTATTTTAGTTTTGTAAAGGTACCTCAATGGAGAAAAAAGGTTGGAGACCCCAGGTGTATGTTGTAGGTCTGGTGCTGGGGTTGTCTCAAACCAGTCCCCCTGCCAAACAGGACCAAACCAGAGGGACAGAACAGAGAGAAGGATGGACTGATGAGTCACATAAACGGGAAACGGCCGTTATCCGTTTTTTCTATTCTTCATTTAAACACAAAATCGAAAAATTAAAAAACGAATCACTATCCGTTTTTTCATTTTGGTTTTGGAGACAAATAATGAAGAAAACTTGTTTTTTCATTTTCTTATTTTTGGGTTTACATTGAAAAAGGAATGAACGAATGATACATGGATTTACACGGATTGCTACAAAATATTGATGATTGACCCAACTTTTCTCAATACATCCATTATAGCCTAAAATAATAATAATAATAACAAAAAGAACTATTGGTGGACGCTTAACAAAGCTGAAAAACAACACTACAACAAAATAATGACCAGAAACATAAATATAAATATCTACCAGAACGACCAGAAACAGGACTAAACCAGAACTAAACACGGCTGAAATAAAAAATAAAAAACACATTTCTCTAAAACACACTCCTTCTCGCCACTGTTTCCACTTTGACATCCACAGACACTCCGGCGCTAATTATCCACCCGCCAAAACCCGCCGCTACCTTCAAACGCTACAACTTTGACGAATGCTACGGCGCTTACCACTTAGTATCATGTTTTTTTTTTTTTACCACTAAGGATGTGCTCCCGGCGCTACTGACAACAATAGACAGCGAAAGACAAAGCTAAGGTCTGTGTAACTATGAGGCTTTCGGGATTCTGTGCGTTTCCTTCGGCGCCGCGCTCGCCAAAACAGATCAGGACGAGTTTAGCGGAGTGACAGACGGCGGAGACGGGGCAGAGGAGACGAGCGTACCAGATATAGTGTTCAGGAACATGAGGTATTCGAAGTTGGAAATCTCCCTCCTCTGCCAGCGCTGGGTCATGTTGGACGATTTGAAGAGCTGTCGCGGCGTCGCCAAGGAAACCCGTCTAGAAAAAAGAAAAAAAAAAATTACAATGAGAGCTAGAAATCCGTCTGGAGGTACACACAATTACGTCCTATTAGGAAACGGGGCGGTGATGTTGATGTATTCGAAATAACTCGTATGTATGTGTTTACTTTCCGTGGCTATGTTTACACAAAAAACACAGCGTTACAGTTACAGCTGCTGTGAGTAATCTGATTTGTGTCTGACTGTTCATATTTGTACCAGTTTTCACAATTATCTACACAAGGGCAAACTTGTAGTAGTAGTAATAGTAGTTTATTTTCTTCAGTTATGTACTTAATTGTCTTGTGAGCTTTAAACCATGTTATAATGTTGTTACCTCCTCAAAAACAGACCTGGAGTTGTGTTTTATTTCATTCACACATGTTTGAGTAACACTTTGTTTACATCTCCAAAAGCTCAAAATGCTCTGTTTCACCTTGTGACTGATAACCAAGTCACCACACCATAGATCTGATCTGGAACAGAAGTTGACCTGAAGGCTTCCCTTATTTGTCTCTATGGATACAGATATATTTAATACCATATTGGCCACATTTACGTGATGTTTTTTAATTCCGATTTAATAATCTTGAATTAATAAATTCGGAATTAAATTATTCTCCTTTGAGTTTACATGGAAATAATAATTCTGAATTAAAGTTTACATGGAAAACATGTTAAATTGTCTTTATTTAATTCCACTCTGGGGATGGGGAAGGGTTCTGAACGTATTTACGTCGACCGGAAGAAAACACACACTTCAGCTGCTACCGGCTTTTTTGTCATCTTCCGAACCCAGACTCCTGAACCAGCAGGAGCAGCTCCGGTTCAGATCGGGCCCAGATGAGCTGGAGCGGGGAGTGGTGTTACGTGCCTCGGCCTGAGAAGCACTTTCCCCGGGGAAGAACCAACAGCACAGAGGATGGACTGGTCAGAACCACATACAACCAAACAAACAAACAGGAGTTTGTCTGCAAGTCTGATTTTGTATTTTCAGTGCCATAAAAATCCATAATCAAAAAACAGTCTATTTTTGGCAAAAAAAAAAAAGTTACATGCTTTGCCTTCTGTTTGGATTTTTTTCTGAATGGGTCATAGGTTTGTTCCATGTTATACGAAAACAAAAAAGTAAATCATTTTGCATTATGTAACATAACATAATTATGCATATTAAAGTACGGAAGCCAGGAGGGCTCATAAAAAACACAAACTAAGCAACAAATACAAACGCGACAAAAAGCCACAATAAACCAAAAAAGCCACAATGGAAGTGACCGCAGGACTCTATTTTCCGACAGACCAACTGAAGCATTAAAGGGTCAAGCGGGAAGTGGCTTTTTTTTGTTTGTTGTGGCTTTTTGTGTTTGTTGTGGCTTTTTTTTTGTTGTCATTTATTTTTGGTTTGTTGTGACTTTTTTTTGTTTGTTGTAGCTTTTTATTTGGTTTGTTGTGGCTTTCTTTTTTGTTTGTTGTGGCTTTTTTTTGGTTTGTTGTCACTTATTTTTGGTGTTGTGTTGCGACTTTTTTGTTTGTTTGGTTTTTGTTTTGTTTGTGGCTTTTTTGGTTGTGACTTTTTTTTTTTGTTGTGGCTTTTTTGTTTGTTGTGGCTTTTTTTTGTTTTTGTGCTTTTTTTTTGTTTGTTGTAGCTTTTTTTTGGTTTGTTGTGGCTTTCTTTTTTGTTTGTTGTGGCTTTTTTGGGTTTGTTGTCACTTATTTTTGGTGTGTTGCGACTTTTTTGGTTTGTTGTGGCTTTTTTTGTTTTGTTGTGGCTTTCTTTGGTGTGTTGCGACTTTTTTTGTTTTGTTGTGGCTTTTTTGTTTGTTGTGGCTTTTTTTTGTTTGTTGTCACTTATTTTTGGTTTGTTGCGACTTTTTTTGGTTTGTTGTGGCTTTTTTGGTTTGTTGTGGCTTTTTTGTTTTTTGTGGCTTTTTTGGTTTATTGTGGCTTTTTTCTTGTTTGTTGTGACTTTTTTGGTGTGTTGTGGTTTTTTTGGTTTGTTATGACTTTTTTTGGTTGTTATTACTTTTTAAAAATTTGTTGTGGCTGTTTTTGTTTTGTTGTGGCTTTTTAAAAATTTGTTGTAACTTTTTTGGTTTGTTACTACTTTCTTTGGTTTGTTGTGGCTTTTTTTGGTTTGTTGTGGCTTTTTTTGGTTGTTGTGACTTTTTGTTGTGTTGTGGCGTTTCTGTTTGTTGCGGCGTTTACGTTTGTTATGAGCAATCCCGGCTTCCATATTAAAAGCCCTGGAAGAAACAACATAACATGAAACAATACAAACATTTCTTTCAGTGAAAACATCCTCAGAATTCCTCGTTTGTCCGTGTGCTTCCCCGTGACTGCTCAGTGGTCAGTAGCGTGTGACCTGCGGAGCTGCTTGTTTAGCCTGGACTCTGGACAGGCCTGTTAGCTGCTCGCTCTGGGGGAGCTGTGGATCAACCCTCTGTCGGAGAATTAGGCCGGGTCAGCGCGGGTCAGTGCACCCACCGGGCAGGAGAGCCACTTCACTTCAGACTGAACTCTCACTCTCTACTCTACTCTACTACAGAGTCTGATAAACAACACAACTCAAATATAATACATCATTTTTACTGGGCAAGTTGAATCTACTCAAATAATGTAAGTCTTTTTTAACTGATCTAGACCTTGTTTTTTGCAGGTTTTGGTGAAGCAGACGTGGGACCTGGGCACTCACCTGGCCTGGGGGAGCCCGAAGCTGGTGCCCACCCCCACCCGAGGGAGACTGTGCACCACCCTCTTCACCGTGGCCTGGTCTGGGAAGTTAAACATGACGGAAGCTGAAAATAAAAAAATGAAGAATGGCATTATGTTATAAAACTGAACAAGAAAACAATATATATTATAATTTTATATCTTGTGTTTATGTGATATTTATGATGTAATTTGACACGAGTCACTGTGGGTTTTGTCTTGGTCAGAGTATTGTGTTTATAAATAAAACTAAACCACACAGTCCCATTTGAAAAAAGAAAAAAAAGGACTTACTCATACTTAAAACAAATTGTAGATTGAAAGATAAATAGATTTTTTATGAACTGAATCAGGACTGAAACAGGACTAAACTAAGTTTAAACCAAGACTAAACCGAGGACTAAATCAGGACTAAACCAGAGCTGAACCAGGATTGAACCAAGACCAAGGACTGAACCAAGGACCAAACCAGGACCGAACCAAGACTGAACCAAGTCTAAACCAGGACTAAACCAGGTCTAAACTAGATCTAAACCAGGTCTAAACCAGGACTAAACAAGTACTAAACCATAGCTGAACCAGAACTAAACTAGGTCTAAATCAGTACTGAACCGAGAACTGAACCAGGACTGAACCAGGTCTAAACCAGGACTAAACAAGGTCTAAACCAGTTCTGAACCAGTTCTAAACCAGGTCTAAATCAGTACCAAACCAGGTCTAAACCAAGACTAAACCAGGACTAAACCAGAGCTGAACCAGGACTGAACCAAGACTGAACCGAGGATTGAAACAGGTCTAAAATAGGTCTAAACCAGAACTGAACCAGGGCTGAACCAGGTCTAAACCAGGACTGAACCAGGACTAAATTGAGGACTGAACCAGGAGACTGAACCAGGTCTAAACCAGGACAAAACCAGGACTAAATCAGGAGTAAACCAGGACTGAACCAGGACTAACATTACTGCTTTACAGAAAAAAGCAATGAATTACAGTAATTTGTTACTTTTATAACACGTTACTCCCAACACTGTAGATAATCAATAGATAGATTATAAATAGACAGACAGATAGATGAAAGTACTCCAGATACTCGTAGTATCTGGAGTACTTGGTTGACTCTTACTCCTGTTGGCCATGAAGATCTCCAGGGCGCTGTTCTGCAGGAGGTGGTGTCTGGAGAACACGGCTCTGATCTCACTGAACATCCACTTCCCATGGAGCCCCTCGGTGTACGACAGCACCTGCACACAGGACACCGACACTGTCACCAGCGTGTGGATGCGACCGGAGAAAAAGTGTGCCGTTAGCATGCTAGTTAATGTTAAAAGTGGTCTGACAGCAGTTTTAATTCAGCCTCAGTGCAGATATATTGTAAAAGCAGGTCGTCTAGGGTCCAAATAAGACCGCTGTGTTCTGTCTGCAGCTAATTAATACATGAACAAGGAAGTGTGTAGTAGCATGCTAGTTATTTTTAGTCTTATTGTGATGGCAAAACTCCCGTCTCTTCTCTAAAAGTTGAAAAAATCTGGTATGAACTCATTGTGGTGAATAATTAGGATGCACATTATAAAAAAAAAAAAAAAATAAATCAGATATAGTGTCTTTAATCGGTCTAAACCAGGACTAAACCAAGACTACACCAGGTCTAAACCAGGTCTAAAACAGCATTAAACCAGGACTACACCAGGTCTAAACCAGGTCTAAACCAGGACTAAACCAAGACTAAACCAGGACTACACCAGGTCTAAACCAGTTTTAAACCAGTTCTAAACCAGGTATAAACCAGGTCTAAACCAGGACTAAACCAGGTCTAAACCAGGTCTAAAACAGCATTAAACCAGGACTACACCAGGTCTAAACCAGGTCTAAACCAGGACTAAACCAAGACTACACCAGGTCTAAACCAGGTCTAAAACAGCATTAAACCAGGACTACACCAGGTCTAAACCAGAACTACACCAGGTCTAAACCAGTTTTAAACCAGTTCTAAACCAGGTATAAACCAGGTCTAAACCAGGACTAAACCAGGACTAAAGCAGATCTAAACCAGGACTAAACCAGGTCTAAACAAGGTCTAAACCTGCAGTGAACCAGGACTGAACCAGATCTAAACCAGGTCTAAACCAAACCTTTCTTCTGCGGTCACCTGACAGGCTACGCGGGCGCACCTCCGGGCCCGTCCTGACACTCAGTCCTGGTTCAGTTCTGGTTTAGTCCTGGTTTAATTAAAGACAATAGAATATGAAGTTTAACAAAATACAAAAAAACAAAACAAAACACATTGTTTCTGTGTCCGTAATCAAAGCCTTTCCTCCACACAGTAACGCAAAACCAGCCTGGTCACATGACTAGGCTGGCGTCATGTGGGTGGTAAAAACAAGGACGTGGAGCACCGTGTCTGAAGTTGGAGCAGCCGATTTCGATCCGAGGAAGATCGCCAGAGTGAAAACAGTCTTTTTGTGGACAGACGACGAGGTTCAGTTGTTACTGAACGTAACACTGGATTTTAAGACGTTCGTCTGTCATTTGTTTAAACTGTTTTTCGCAATAGCGTCACATGACCGAAGTCACAAACCCACTGAATCAGGAAGGCACAAGGCACAGTGATGTAAGGACACAACTAGAGCTCCTATGTCAGCATATCATTGTTTTCAGGCGTCCACACAGTGCCGGATCGGATCTGTATTCAGATGAATTCGTGGGAGCTGGCAGCTCGTCGTTCCGTCTCTGGAGCTGATTTCCATCAGATAAGTGTGGACAAACACTGCATCCATAACAAAAACGACTCAAATACGTACTAATGTGGATGGGGCCTTAGAAGAACCCAGCCTAAATATGGAGAATTTGTGTAATTTGTGTGGGAATGATACAAAACACAACTCCAGGTCTGTTTTAGCTGACGAGGAAACAACATTATAACATAGATCAGAAAACAGCCTTTAAACTACGTCGTCTTTCACTGGAATGTAAATATCAGAGTGTTTAACACATGTGAGCAGCTCCTAAACCTCAGTCAGGTTCATAATGGCCGCCTGAACGACCCCCCGAGGCCCGGAGTCAATACAGCCCGTCCTCCTGTACCGCAGAGGGGAGAGAGCGCCGATCATTAGTGCGTACAGCTGCTCTGCTCGGCAAAAACCAAGCGCCCACACACACACGCCGGGCACACGGACAGGCGCCTGACAGGTGAGAACAGACCCCCCTCGGCGCCTGTCTCCTCCCCCCTCCTCCTGTGTCCAGAGGAGCTGATCAGCACCGTGGGTCATAATCACACCCCAAATTCAAGAGCAAGAGGTGAGAATAAAGACATAACACGGCCTGGCACCTCTCGCGGGCGCCGGGGGAGGGCACGGCGGGAAAAAAAGGAAAAACTGACACAGTGAGTACAGAGTCTGGCCACTGATCTGGAGGTTGGAGGTTCAAATCCCTGCTACACCATACAGTTCCATTTGAAATAAGAATAAAGGGTCTGTTTATCAGCTGATGTCATTGTTATTAAAAGCCCGCGTTGCATGCTGGGAAATATTTTGGTCGGAGGCAAGAAACACGGTAGCGTCAAACACAGTGCGTAACCTCGCGTATTTATCCCCGATAATGGTAAATTCCTGCTGCATTATCGGATGCACAAATAGAAGCACGGAAGAAGGAAAATGTCTTTTTCGTTTTGTATTCTGAGTGAAAAGAACCGCTAACGGCGAATTAAACGGCTTTCAAACATTCACAGAGCAAACGTAGAAGATCCTAACAAACCGTGGACTCCAACAAGTTCAACAACACATCGAGACTCTTGGAGGTTTTCATCTTTTCTGCTGTGAATGGCCCAGGAGTTTCCACCAAGTCATTGTGGATATCGCCGAAAGTGAATATTTGTCCAGGTAGTTGGCGATTCTGACCAGAAATTTGGTTTGGTCCACCTTTTGTCGGGGTTGAAAAGGGTGATTTGGCTCCATCGATGCTTATGACCAATTTCTGGTCAAATGGTCTTGGGTCCTCTGCCGTTAGAGTGGATAAATAACCCGGATCAATACCCTTTACGTGCTTTCCGTCCGTCATGTTGAATTAATGTTTCTTGATGCCGACCAAAATAATTCCCAGCATGCAACGCGCGCTTTTATCAACAATGAAACTCGCCTATAACAAACTGCATAAACTATCCTCCTTTGGACTTCCTTTCTCAAATGCAAACTTAATAAAAAATGGAAAAGTGTTTTCTTTGGGGAGACAGAGATTCGTAGCTTCTTTGCCACCCATCTTAGCGTGATGGGGGTTTGTGGTCAAATCTGAAACATTTTGAAACAAGTAAAAAAGTTCTAGATCCATCAAGTGTACAAACCTACCCAGACTACTGAAATATAGATTTGTATTTTAGTACAGTCATTTGAGCTCTACTTATTCATTTTTTCAGCTGGTTTTCAATATTGGACTGACGTAGAGAATCCATGTGTCATTCGTTCATTAGTTTTTCAAATTAAACCCAAAAGTATGAAATAAAAAATAAAAAAAATATTTTCTTCATTATTTGTCTCCTAAACCAAAGTGTTTTTTCAATGAGTATGAGTAATGGAAAAAACAGATAATGGCTGTTTCCCATTTCATCCACTTTTTTTTTTTTTTTTTTTTTTCCCCCCGCCGCATATGGACTAAACTAGGACTGAACCAGGACCAAACCAGGACTAAACCAAGACTAAACCAAGACTAAACCAAGACTAAACCAGGACTAATCTTGGAGTTGAGTGAAAGAGTGAGGGAGAACCCCGAGCCTGGAGGGAGAGTGTCCGCAACGTGGGATCGGGCGCATCTCCAGGCTCGTCCTGACCCTTAGTCCTGGTTCAGTTCTGGTTTAATCCTGGTTTTAGTCCTGTTTCAGTCCTAGTTCAATCCTGGTTTAGTCCTGTTTCAAAAGTCTGACATCTCCAGTTTTTATTACAGATTATTACAGATCCATGGTAAAAATTGAATGAAACAGAAAAAGGTCCTCATCTGTTTTTTCCATTACTTGTTTAAACACAAAATCGAAAACTGAAAAAGCAAATCGTTACCTGTTTTTTAATTTTGGTTTTGGATGCAAATAATGAAAAAAAAAAAAGTTGTTTTTTCGTTTTCTTACTTTTGGTTTTATTTTGAAAAACGAACGAACGAATGATAGTGGATGATTGTGGAGCTTTTCTTTTTTTGCAGTGCGCGGTAAAAATGAAGAGGAGGAGGAGGAGGGCGCACGGAAGAAGTCAGAGTGAGACATTTGCCTGGGTTAGTTTGTGATGCTTACGCTCATTTAAAGTGCTGACAAGGAAAAAGGAGAGAGGAGGGATAGAGGAGCGAGAGAGAGAGACAAAGAGGAGGAAGAGGAGGAGGAGGAGGAGAGATAGAGCTCGGCCTGCCTCCTTAATTTCTCCCTGGAATAGCTGTGGTCCAACCTCGGCTGCACACTCCCGAGTCTCTGGAGCTCAATTAAACCTGGATTATAAGCCGAGGAAGAGGAGGAAGAGGAGGAAGAGGAGGAAGAGGAGGAGGAGGTGCTGCTGCTGGAGCTGAGGGCGGCGGCGGCGGTGGTGGTGGTGGTTGTCTCTCGTCCCGGTGATGGCTGTTCTTGACACCTCTGCACCCGCCGCCAACCACCGCCGCCTCCCCCCAACCTGGGCTCAAACAGTTGTCATAGCGACGGGCCCCGAGGACCTACGGGACGGCTGATGCGAGCGAGGCGACGTTGCGGAGGTGATGTGTTACTCGGCTGCCGCGGTCGCACGTTAATGCGGGAATAACGAGAAGGAAAAAGGCGGTCGGACATACGAGCGTCACGGGAGGGCATCGGGTCTTTTGTTTTTATCCGGGTTGTTTTAACACGGAGAAATTCAGCTGGGATTTTGTCAGTTTAGTATAAAAAATCAATCATGTCGACTGAAAAATATGACAACTTCCACGTTTACGTTTATCATTCTAAATAAAAATGAATTCCGCTTTGAAAAGACCATGTAAACACTTAAGAAAAGAAAATGATTATGCGGAATTAAACTTAATTCTGAAGTAAGTGGGTGGTTTAATCCGATTTTAAAGCCAAATTCATTTATTCCTCGATCATGTAAACGTTTATTCTTCTTAAAAATAATTCAGCTCGTTCAGTTCATGCTCGTTGTGTCGCCCTTCTGACGCGATCCAGACAATTCGGCTTCGGACTTTCCTCCACGTCTCTTTGGATTTGTGAGCGGGATGTGGGAGTGGGCTGAGGTAGAGCAGCCGTCGACTC